TTATTTTTTCTGTGAAGGAGAGATAGTTTTGTTCCCTCACCATTTCCCTCCCAGGAGTGACACGCACTCTCCGCAGAGTGCGAGGGAGGGCTGTGCTGCTACCCTCTCCCCCCTCCTCTGCCTGGAACAGAGGGACAGATCTGAGCTTGACAGATGCAGGTTTGAGTTCGGGTCTTCTTTCACACTTGGCTGCCCTTTCCTTTCCTCTTTTCTGCATATGGACATCTCTGTTAAGAAAAGACTCACTTTATCTGATGTCAAAATGAAGGGTGGGATCTTTAAATTTTTGTAAGCATTACATTTAGGCTGAGTAGGAAACAGGAAGAATCTGCATGTTTACAGGAGCAGCTGCCCCAAAAGTATTTAATTTATTCAGAGGATCTACTTTTAAAACATTGAGGGTTCTTTGTGTTGGTTTTGCTTTCTAAATGTGTGACTTCCTTTGAGGGAGGAAGGCTTGTTTAGCAGTGGTATAGAACAGTTCAATTTAAGAAGGTTGTACCTCAGCACAGACCAAGTAGCTACTGGGAAATAAAACAGTTCTTCAAGCTTTATAGTTGCCCTAAAGCCTAAGGATTCCTGAAAGCCAACTCCATCAAAGCCTCTGCACCAGGCTGTACTCTCATCCTCAGGACCGAGCCACATCAGTTTTGGTTTGCGGCACAGGGACAGCTAAAGGTGATTCTGCTCTCTGACACCAACTAGCGAGCCGTGCTCTTTTCTTTTCAGTTGGTGCCAGCTGGGCTTTCTGTTGCCTGAGAGGAGCTGATATGAGGAAACAACTGCTTGGTTCAGTTACTGCAGTTGTCTCTCAAATCATCCTGAAAGAAAACTCCTAAATAAGCTCAGCAAAGTGCTCTCTTTTGCTGGTAGACACTGTGATGTGCTTTTGAATTGTTTCTGGCACACCACCCTTTTCCCCATTACCTCCTCAGTGTCTTGATGGTCAACAAACAAGCAAAAACCACCCTATTTTTGCTCTGAGCTACAGTATATACAATGGGGTGTTGATATAATGGGAAGAAATTATAAGCAAGGAGCACTCCAACACATCATGCTTCTCTAGCTGTAAGAGGAACATTCTACAGGATGGATCTGCAGACAAGAAATTTATATTTGAGCTAATTTAAAATAGTGCAGGTGCAGCTCCAACATCATAGGCTGTAAAACCTACCCCACCTTCTGACTAAGTATTAAAGCAACCTGCCCATGATGTGCATGATCTTGTTGTTGCTACACTAACATCAGTACCCAAGCCAGCATAAGTTACGCAACCCTGTTATGATCACTCAAGTTGAAATTAAATGGCTAGATTGAAAAAGAAACAGGGCAGAGGGCTGGCTTCTAACGTGCACGTTAGCTGGGACAGGCGCTAGGACCAAAGGTTCACTGTCTCTGTGAGACCCTCACTTGACTCTAGCCTAAGAGAAGACACTGGAGAAAAAACCCGCATCCCATTTAGAGAGATCAAGATGAAGCAACAAAGAAATGTCATGAAGCCTTTGAGGCAAAACCCATATAGTCCAGGGCAGTGTCAGACAACCTTAGAAATCTATTTGTTCTAGCTAAAACCAAGTCACCAGGCTTGTGATTAACATTAGTTATAGGGTTCCTTTTCTTGTAAGTTCTTGGTGATGCCCGGCACAGAGATGCAAAAATGGCAGGAACACTTTACTCGTTCTTATAATATCTCGAGGGCTCTTCCCTCCATAAAGACACACCAGAAAGATGACGAAGGCTGGGGGGAGGCAAAAAAAAGTTTTATCTTTTCTATCTTCTAATAGGAGACAGAACCTTTGAAGGCAGGTTTTAGCCCAGTTATTTGTTTAGAAGGCATCATTCAAATGGGGACTGGAGGAAAAGAAGGGATGCTTCCTTCAAGCATGAGGACCTATTCAACTCCAAATCAGCCCACCTCACTGGCCATTTGCTGCCATTTGAATGAACAAAGGGCATTTCTCCTGTTCTTGAAGTAAGGATGCCAATTAGCTTAAGCAGTCACAAATAAATATGGTATTTTTTCCAACTCAACGCTCAAACCTAGGAAATTATGTCTGTTCTGAATTTAGCAGGATTTTCCACCTAGCACAGAAGCAAGACACTGCTGAAGCGGCTAAGTCCTTGCATTTCACTATAATGTACAAATTGGTCTCTTGCCTCTGAGCTGGGCAGTTTCTTTTGTTAAGTCTGAAACACGGCAGAGCAAGTAACTTGGCTGATGACCACTCACTGTTTTGACACAGCAGTTCCTAAGTGGGTCCTTAGGAAGCAACATTTCTTTAAAAAATGTAGTGGTATGCTATTATTCAAAAACTTTCCAAGTGGCATTACAGCTTGCTGGAGCTAATAAGGGCTGCACACTAACTTATTTTCTAAAATGTGAAAATCCCCTTTGATTTATAGCCATCCTCAGTGAACAGCTGGCATGGGCTATGGCTGCTACTCTTCCAGTTACTTTCCCCCATTTGCTTTAAAGATAGATAATCTTCTCCTGCAGCCAGCATAAACACGTAACTGGAAGAGAACCTCTGCAGAGCGCACTGTCCCAAGGCACACACAGGTGAATGGAAGAGCTGTGAAGACAGAGGTGCAGCCTTGGCTGTGGAGAAATTTTCATCTGGCTTACACTGGTCTAGGCATCCAAATTCCTTCAAAATTACTAGGTTATGTTTACCTGTTAAATCTATTGCCTTTTGCTCACTGCACCTGTCTGCAAAAGTACTGTCATTTCATCATGAGGGCTTTATTCTCAAAATACGGCAGGATGAGAAATACCTCAAGGATGATGGTTTGTTTTCCTTTGACATCTCAGGGCAAGTGTCTCCCAGCAAGAGATTTTCTTCTGGGAAATTTCCATATAAAACCAGACAGGAACAAAATGTGACTAAGTGTAATAAATGGTTCTATGTTCCTGTCCACATCCTTTTCTGTCACCAAGCAACCAATCAAGGAGACCACATTTAACTTTGCTTGTTCCATCAGCCCACAGATCTCAAGATGTATTACATCCTCAGCTCCAACCTCCAAAGGTAAGAGAAGGATACGAAAGTACCCGTCTCAGCTGCATTGCCTTCAAAAAGGTATATATACAATTCAAATTAATGTACAGAAATTCTAATAAATATGAAACTCTCCATTGCATCACCCTCAGAAAGCCACCCAAAGTGGGAGGCTTCCACTTTTGAAGCAACAGAAGATTTGAAGATACCAATACTTGCCCATACTTCCTGACCAACTCCAGCCACTGCAAGAGACAGCTGGTTAAAAGAAACCTCGTCTGAAACTGAGCCAGTCAGGAATCTATCAAATGCTGATTTGTGGGAGTTAAAATGAAGAACAATAACTGTAACATAATTTATTCATCACTAAGTAGCGTTGCTCAAATATAATGATCCTATCGATACGATGTTTATTCTAGTATACTGCAAACACATTTTAGTAACATCAGAGCAAACAGTTTTGCTAAGCAGGTTTCATGCATCTATAAGCCTGTTACACATGAAGCTTTCCCTAGTGAGCTTTTGACCTTGTTCTTCACATTTCACATTGAGGGTACAGTGCTAACATCACACATCCTATAAAGCAAGTATTTTAGTTAAGTTGTGACGTTCTTTTGTGTAAGTTCTTACTTACAGTATACCTCTTTTCACAAAAGGTGGCAGTAAGTCCAGAAAGTTTTCCTAATCATTGTGAACAGTTAAACACATTGCTACATACACTTCAAAAATCATGCTTTTGTTTTCATCTGAACAGAATGTGAATAACTGTTATTAAATTAGTCAGATACTTCTTTGACCAGTCATCTGTTTAGAGAATCAATTTCCCCATATTTTTTAAATCAGTTCCCCTTTTCATTTTTTTTCATTAGAAGTTGCATTTTTCAGAAATAATGCTTACCTGTTAACTTCAGAAGGCTCACCTCTGTTTTACAGAAAAGGATAAAGTGTTTTTTGTAGAGCACTTTGCAGAGAACTATAGTATTAAAACTGCTCATCCATGTTAATTACATACATCTGTTTCAGAAAATAAGTCTGAGTCCATAAACCACTTCTGCTTGGCCATGTGTAATTAGACTAGCAGACATTTTGAAACTGAGTAAAAAAAAAAAGTGCCATAAGTGTGCAGCTACAGCCAGAAATGTGGTAGTGCAAGTGACCTCTGATGTGAACGTTTCCTGTACTTTCTGAGATGGCAAGATACTGTGTTTTCTAATCTCTTGTTTGCACTGCAGGCCTTTAAACAGACAAGCAGCAACAAGCTTATCTTCTGTCTTGTACACAGTAATCCCACTGCATTCTGAAGTCTGTATTAATGACAGATAGCAAGCAAGGCCTAATTCCTGCAAACTCAAAGCTTCATTTCTGCTATGTGAACTATGTGAAAAGCATGGGCTTCTTTTCTTTTCCTGAGAGAAATGCAGAATGCCCAGCCTATTTGCAGAGCTATTACCTGAACAGGAAGCAATGAGATACGTCAACAGCAAGCACTGATTCTTATGAGTGGGTGCCCTCCTGCCACAAATCTTTGTGCAATAAAATATGCCATCTGAGAGGTCTATTCCTGCAAGATTCTGCATCTCAGTTCAAGAAGCCACCCAACAGGTACGACTACACCGCAAATAAAAAGCAGACATACTTTTTAGTATATAGTGCTCGTAACATCCACCTTAGGGACAGCCAGCCTTCTCATCACACGCCTGCCTTGTGTGCCGTTTGTCCAGATGTGTCCAGTCACCTGAACAGTCAGTCACAGGAAGCACATTCAGCCTTGTTTTGAAGGCAATTTTATAGATGCAGTGTAGACATATATCATAGGACTAGCAGTCCTTAACGTTCTAAAGTTATGTCACTGATCAACAATGAAGTGAAGAAGAAAACAGACATGATTTTGCAGGAGGTATTCTATCTCATCAGGGTCCATGTAGCTTCCAACTGAAACATGTTTCCATATAAAAGAAACTGTGTATGACATTTGCAAAACTTATTTTTCTTCTACATTACCTTTAAGACAAAGCAGTGATCTGTAGGTGCCTTATATTTCATTTTGTGTTGAGAACCATAATAAACGTTCACATTCTCAAACTGAATGAAGCATGCCAGGTCCCGTGATGTCTACAAATGAAAACCAAGCACATCACTGTTAGAACAAATTGAATTTCGACGTGAAACTCATTAATATGACGTTTTTCAAGTGCATAAACGCCAATGCTTTTTATTTTTAACTGTCATGAGGTTGAAAAAACATGAATTTTAACTGTGTGCATTCTTAAACTAACAACTGGAAGAGGGTCAGGACATATTAGGAATAATATATAACATAGTGCATCATTTTGCTGTTGTTCTGGTTTTGCTGTGCTTTATTGCTTTGTGTGGAGATTTTGGCTTATGCCTAATAAAATCAAGTACAACACCATAGTAAGAAATAACTTTAGTAAAATACATACAGGCCTTGCAACCACACCCTTACAATTCTGAGTGGAGAAAGAAGGTTTAGGGTTCTAAATTGCTTTGGGAGCTTGTTTTTCTTTGGTACACGTAACAAACAAACTCTCATCAAGAAATAAGCACACATTTAATCTGTTTTGCTCTGAATTTTCTCAAGTTTCCTGGCATCATTACTTTTCTGTTTATCATAATATTTGCTTGTTCACAATATGTTGCTAAAGTAACAAGGTTTCTGTTGCTGGCACACTTCTCCATGCAGAATTCTGCATATGAAGCATAACTTTTGCAATCCTTTGAGTGGAAATGCAAAAACGGCCATGTCACTTGGTCACCGTTGGCTACACTGTGAAATCAGGAAGTCGTGAAAAAAAGAAGAAAAAAGAAAATAACACATCACAAACCCTCTCTACCCCTAAGAATAGGGTTATATTTCTGCAGATAATGGTTCTTCTATGCTGTTTTCATCACGATACGCCCTTGAGTTGCGTTTATTTACAAACTGAGTTTGCAAGTAAGACTTGTGGGAGAGGAAACACTCCATATTGCATGCAGACAGGGCGTGTCTCTCCCGTCTGCCCTGAAGCTGATGTCAAGGATTTTGTCATTGATTGTGAGGACCTAGGATTTTCCAATACTGTAAATTCCTAGACATGCTCAAATCCATGCAGCATCATGAGTTGTTGCTCTCCTTTACGAACCAGGTAATGGCAATTAAGACCAATATGACTGCAGTTGTTATGTTCTTCTACGGAAGGAACACATTTTTATGCAAGGGACAACGGCACTTACTGCCAGTATTTCTGCAATGTTAACATGACGAAACAACACATCAATGGAAACAAATTTTAAAATTGTATCTGCAATTCTGATTCTGTTGTTCTGTGACCCTGTCCATTAACAGCATGTTTTTGAATGGGATAGAAGTAGAGTAATGCTGAAGAAAGAAATTAAGACAGCCATGCTGACTGGTGCCTTGCTCATTAAGAAAAAAACCCAAACAAGAAAAAACATCAAAGGCATGTGTGTAGAATTATCTGAACGTGTCCCTGTATTTTCACATTTGCAATATATTTTATAGCCAACACGAAGAGCCAAAGGTATGCCAGACTACTTTTGCTTTTTCGTAACAAGCGAAAGCATGATTACATGATGAATTTGAAAACAGCTGCAGCAGCTGCAGAAACTATTGTCTGCCAACTGTTTGTTTCTGTACCTCAATGAAAGACCACTCTACCCACAACTAAATGACTGTAGCAAGGCACGTGTGCACTCTTCATACCACCCTGACATGGAATGAACTCTCATAATTTAAGGGCTTTGACTGAAGAGCTCCACTGAACTCTGCTGCAGTGCTTTAAGAGCTTAAGTGCATGGCACCCTGCTCATCTACCAGAGATCACTGTCTCCACAAAAGACGTGTACTTGAGCCTCAGCTGTTCCAATACAGAGATCAGTAACTGACTTAAATCACCATTAAACACAGATTTGAGCTAAGAGGCTTGACTTCCTCTGGAATGCCTGAGGCATGGACATATGCATCCTTTCGCTGAAGGCTGTTGCAGAAGCAGGAGGAAATAGTTGACTGTGGTACCATTTTAAAGAGCTGTGACTATCTCCTGAAGAGGTAGATTCAATGTCCTCAGTCCCTGTGAGTGGCTGAGTTGGTAACATAGTGACACAGTTCCTTAAAATGGCTTAGTTATAGGTAGAGTGGTACACAGGCTGTAAGGACTAACAGGCAATAAAGTCTTAAACTAAAACAGCTGTGACAGGTGACTGCACAGCTCCATCCTAAGCCTACATTTGCAGTGTATCACCTGAAAAAAGAAAGCACTTTCCTCTTTCACACTATGATGGAAAGTCACTGAAACAGGTATCACTGGGTAAATAAAAAAGGCTGGGTAACTATCAGTATATGCTTGCCCTGCTTTGGTACTGTGCTACTGGCCGTCCTTGGAGGCAGGCTACAAGGAAATGTCCAAGATGGACTTTTCATTTGACTATTCTTATACTCTTTCCACCTTAAGTGCCTTCCAAATAGCATTCTAGTTCCTAATTGATAGGATGATGTGAGTGTGCAATATGATTTGAGGACTGAAAGCCATTATCTCAGGGTCAGATAAAGTCAAAACAAATTGCTGTGAAAGCAGCAAGGTAATCTAGGTCTGTTTTACTGAGATTTGGTTAGAAACACAGGTCACTGGAGCAGCAGAATGGCATTCCTTTATAAGCTATCAATTTTTTATTATTTCCTTTGTAATTTAGTCAGGGAATAGCAGAACAGCTAAGTTTTACAGCACAAATCGTAACAGTAAAGCTTCATCAGCAGCACCAGAATCTTCAAATACAAAGCACTAGAAAAGCTGTAAGTGGTAACAGAAGTGGTTTTCAGAATACAAAAAAAAAAAAACCCAACCCACCAGTCTGAGAAGCCACCATTCTACCTCATCACTGTGGAAATGAGAAGCCAGCCACCCTTATGTGCAACATGTGCAGGACCCCTTTGCTTCTCCAGTGCTGGTAATTCAGACTCTAAATATTTTCCAGTACTAAATGTCAGTGCATTTGATGCAGTCAGGTGGATGCTTCTGTCTCACTTACTTCTTTCTACACAAAGGGCAGTCTTAAAAAGCCTTAAAAGGCACAAAATATCCTCTAGGTGAAGACCACTGTAGGAAAAAATGTATATCATTTCTGCATGCTGGTTACTGGTGCAGAAAGTCAGTACCAAACCAAGTAAAGTTCCACCTTTTCTGTGACAAGAAATTAATTTACTCAAAAAATTTTTAAATACTCTTCCACAGGGAACACATATAACATTGAAGCATTTTGGCAGCATAACACCCGCTGAAGGATGCTGTGCTGTTTTTCTTTCCCCTACTGACTTCCAGAGGAGTGCTATTTAATGCTTTTATCTACCCATAGAAATCAAAAGAACAGAAACGTGACAGGATTCAGTGACTACAGTCTAATATTTGCACAAGTGGTGTAGTCAAAGTTAAACAAAAAAATCTCCAACCCTCTCAGATGCACCAGACAGTGCTCTTAAAATGTCACCTTGGGAGTTCTTCACTTTCACCTCCATGAATTGTTTTATTGCTAAAAGGATTATTTGGCTTCCTGACCTTGGTTTTTCCTTTGGGTACATAATAAATTCCAGAAGCTCGTAGAAGAAAATAACGCCTCTTCCAGGACTTTTTTCCATCTTCTTTTAAATAAAGGGCCCCTTCAAGCTCTGGCACAATGACAGATGTCCCACAGAAGCTTTCCTGTGCAACAAGAGTAATAATAGCAAAATAAATTTATTTACGTGCAACTCTATTAATAAATAGCAGAAAAATGCTCCCTTGAAAAATAAAGACATTTCCTGTAACAGTGAACATATGAACACGGGGAATGCAGATACCAGGGAGATGAACACCTCAGACAGGTGAAGGAAACTTTTCCAAGCTAATGTTGTAACTCAGCCATGCAAGTTGGGTGCTCACACCGGAAAAGAAGGCTCACAAAACCTCCATTCTCTAAAGGGTCAAGCAAAAACCTACACAAGGTTTTAACTAGACATAGATGTGCTCAGTGAAGGCAATAAAACAGAATGGTACTGCTGCTGTTGGTTTTTCTCTATTGCTGTACCTATACGTTCTTAGAAAAATACTTCTGTAGAGACAGTCTTTAGAGACTGCTTAGAGCTTTAAAAACAGATAAAGAAAAAAACCCCCTTGATCTCTGCTTTCACTTTGAAATACATGCTAGCATTTACAACACTGTTGAAACAAATATACTTAACTGTTTGCTTAAAGGACTTACTTAAGGCTAATTTTTAATGCCAACACACTTATCACTTCAAGTTTTCATTTAGAATTTACCAGAACTTCTGCTGGTGCCTTCGTGAGATGCACTAATTTTGAAATGGGAATCCTCAAGTCACCCGAGAACAACATTCCCTTTGTGAACTTTTACCAAAGTCAAAATGCTTTCCAGGAGAACTGCGTTAATCTCTTCTTTCATATAGCTCTGGATTTTTCTCTCTCAAATGTACAACTGAAGTAAAATTTCAGCAGGAAAGGCAAGGGGCTAAACAGACATTCTGGAAAAGTGCAAAGGTTCTTTTTCTGGTGTAGTACAGCTAATAATTTGAGGTAGTGAGACATCCATCTACTTCTAACCCCAAAGATAATTGTTTGCTACTGATGAACCTTACTAACAATACAAAGTCACAAGGACTGGCCTAAGGGTGTGGCATAGCTGTTTCTTTTATTCATATTTGTGTAACACTGCTGTTACTGATATCATGGCATTACTCTTCATTGAAACACTAAGTGAAAACATTTCATGGTATTGGGGTCTATAACAACAAAATAATTCTCCATCGCTTAATTCCTCTGGTAGTGGATACAATCTGCATTTTTAAATGGTAAGCAGCAGAGGCAGAGGAAAATCCACATATCAAACCTTAGACACAAAGACACCAACCATCTCAGAACCTCCTGTTGTTATACATTTGCCCACACAGAGCTAAGCTGTTGGTGACACTTGCATCATCAACCTAGAAAGCTGGCTTACCTCCAGTAAAGCCTCTTTGTTTTTATCATTCATTTCTTTGCTTTCATTCTTCCCTTTGTGTGCCAGGTAGAAATTCTGATTAAGACACAAAAGAAATTGATCTTCATTATAAAGACGGCAATACAAGTAACTAGATCACTACGAATCCATTCAATAGTTACTCAGTCTTTCCATATTGAGTACTCAAGCCAGCAGATGCAAGAGGCAGATGCTTATGGACTCTTCTTACAGAAAACTTACAGAATCACAGCTGTCTGCTCATGAGTTTTAATTCTTTATTTTGAATATAACTCAAAAGTAATACAAAATTACTTTCGCCTATCTATATACAGCCTCCCAAAATTTTAAAAGCACTGGCTTATGTTTTTGGCTGTTTTTCTGGATCAAGGGGTTTGATTTTATTATTCCAATTTTCACTGCTTCCTATATTCTTACAGGTGGCAGAGAACGTAACGTTTTCTTGCATGCTGATATACGATCAATAAAATGCAGTACCAAAAGGCTAGAAAGCATTTTTCCTAACAACCCAATGTGGTAATTTGCACACTTCATAGCCAGCACTGTGGATCTAACTCAGCTCTTAATTTTTATTAGAAGTGCTTATATGCCAAAGCCTTTATCCAAAGTTACTACTTTCTGTTTTTAAACCCCTGCTTATGCTCTGCAAATTATTTTTATGCAGTGAATAAAGTATTCAAAAATCTAGAAGAAATCAAAAGAAATTATCACTGTGACATCTTGGCACATGTGCTCCAGGCTACTGAACAAAAGCCTACACTTTGAAATGACCCTCTACTTCTGCGAGAGAGGGCTGTGAAGCTCCACCCACCCTCAGAGGACCCAGTGCCTGTCTGCCCTTGCAAACAAGGAAGCACAGCACCTCATGTGCTACCAGTAAAAATAAATTCACCCACTGTTAAACAGCAAAACTAATCTAGCATCCATCTGCATTGTACAGATGGACAAAAGGACAGCACTTGGATGTACGTGCAAATTCAGGCAGCAGGAAGGTGGCTGAGGAGCACGCTAGGACTTGGGTGCCGAGGTATGTGAAGCAGCTTTGCTCAACACCAAGCATGGCCAGACAGCAGAGCCCAGCTGCCTGCAGACAGTAAGGTAGCTGGGCGTGAAGGAAGCAGGTAGATCAAGGAGCTATGCCATGCATCAAGTAGCATTTGGATCCATGGGCTTGAGGCCAGATTGATAACACTCAAAAGTTCTTGTGTTTTATCATTTTCTAAACAAAAGTACATGTAGAAGGGGAGCTTGGGTTTGGAAAATACCTGATGCATGGGACAGTCTTACTGATTTCCTTGGAATTGGACAAAAAGCTAAGTTTGCAGAACAAAGGGCATAAAACAAACAAACACCATTGTCTAGGAAACAGACAAAATCATAAAAACCGAACAAATTTTGAAAGCTATCCACTGAAAAATTACTCCTAATTCTGTAATTCTTCAGCAATTCTATAGGAAGAAAACTAAGAGTTTATCTGACTTTTCATCTCTCTCCATTCTTTCATGTCTCAAGACTATGAGAATGTGGCAACATATTTACATGAACTCCACAATGACTGAACTGCAACACAAATGCAAACATTACCAAAAGACAAATGAGAAGTATGTAAATGAAGGAACATGCTGTTGCCGCAGTATAAGAAATAAACAAGCAGCAAATCTGCCCTGCCAGCACACCACATTCACAGCAACAAGGTTTATCTGAAGTTAGACCTTGCTCTTCCACACAACCACATCTTCTTTTTCAAGCAGTGCTGCGAACAGCTGTCTGCCAGAACACAAGCCTCATAGCAGGCGGTTTTTGGAGGGGCACCAGGAGAGGAAGGGGAAGAGGTGTGGATGATCTCAAAACCAGTTCTTTAAAAACTGCTTTCTTAAAAGTTCACATTAAGTCAGGCAAGGAACACAGCCACCTGCAATTTGGCCTGATGCCATATCTGTGGTATGAACATAAGAAAAGAAAGTTGAACATTCAATACAACAGATGGTAATCCTCAGAAATACAGCAATGTTCTTCTCTAGGATATACAGCAGCATACAGCTGGCTCCAGACTGCCTGGGCACATTTTTAGTCCATGGATGAAGGTAAGCAAACACTAAGGACCACAGCTTCGTGACTACATCTGAAGACAGTATTCATAGTGAAAAAACCCCAAACCAGCTCAAAACAAAACCCGCTTAAAAGTATGTTCTCAGCACAAACCATATAGCAATGCCTGCCTATGCAGTTCAAAACCACAGGTCTGACTGGGTGACACTGCTCCACTCATCCCACCAGAAAACAACCCAACTGTTAGGAGCAGCTGCAGCCAAGTCCTCTGTACACATGCAACAGCTCTTCTTGACAGAGAACACTATCACAGCACTGCTGGCTTGATGTTGGCACACACACTTTTAAATTGATGAAAGTATCTAGAGAAACCTCAGAGGGCCTGTTAGGCTGGGTTGGGCCTCCCGACTTTGGGATGGATTTGGAAAGCAGAGGGACATGCAAGCTGTAAGCCTTCTTCTTCTATAGATCATTACAAAGACAGAGTACAAGCCCTAAAATACACAATGAAGATTTATCAAGGTAAGTACACCTTATCACTGTTTCAACAAGGCTTGGCTCATCAGCTTTACTACCGGTGGGGAAAGCATTCATCTGGCTCAGTCAGCCTTCAGTGCACTGATAATAAGAAAACAAAGCTCCGATTACAACCGATTCACAGTCAGGCATCTGGCATTTATTGAGCAGAAACACAGACCACCCTGTACTGACATAATCAACGGTAAAACCAGAAAGTTTGTAATGATATCCATGCTGGATCTCTTAACAACGCAGCTTTTTCATTAGGGAAACAGGGCTCTGTCACCTAAACCAATGTTACACAGACGTACACTGTCAGCTTTCACCTGTCAACACACATTTCATTTATTATTGATTATCTCCTTTATGTCTCTGCCCTGAAATCTGGAAGTACATGACACTTATTATTTGTCAGTGGTTAAAAACCTGGGGAGCAGACTGTACACTGTACTTGTTTTATCATTGTGTGGTCTATTTTTGATCAGAAGCATTCATCCTATAGGAGGCAAACCATATGTGTCCACAAGAGGTCATTCCAAGTCCAGTAGTCAAAGGTCATGATAAAAGGCAAGCTCTTTCCTGTCTGAGGGCTCCACTGGGAAACGCATGTTTGGTTTGGGAGGTCAGGTCATTAATGGGACAAGATGTGGCTACAGGGCAGCTCTCTGCATACGTCTACAGATTTCAGAATTAACTATTTTTTACGTTCAAAAGACAATGTCAGTCTTTTGATATACAGCAGAGCTTACTTAAGAGGATAGATTCATCCTCTTGGGCTGATAACATAAGAAAGCAAACATAAAGGGTTATTTTAACAAACAAAACAAAATGTGCTGGCACACCTTGTCATTGAGTTTGCTTTGTTTGCACTGTTTGGGTTATTTGCTGCAGAGATGAGCAGTCAAGTGTTTTTGCTGAATTATTCCCTCTGCCTATACATCCCAGACCAGCTGAGCTGACACAAAGCCAGTTGCTCTCCCCATGCCATTCTGCCTGACTCAGACTAATGCAGCGCTACAGTGGCAGTTTTGACATGTACTGCTAGCCAGGTATGACATCCTCAAGAGACACTACATTAGCATTTTCCCCTGTGCTTATGCAAGACAGTGGCAAAACCAGCTGATGACCCATCTATGGCTTTACGTTAGCAGGAAATTCTATATGCACAAAAGAAAATCCTGAAAAGATTTTATGGCCAGCTTAAGTTAATTTTGTGCTTTGTACTGTAAAGTAACACTAGTCTATGCACACATCCTTTCCACTTAGGGATACAGCCATCTCCTTTTGTGTGGAAACGGAGGTAAAAAAATTCAGGCTCTTATCTCTCTCCACTGTATAACCCTCAAACAGTGGAAGACAGAAGGTGCTTTCAACAGTTTCAAAAACCATCTCTGGTGGCATGTCAGCAAACCAAACTTAATCATGGTAGAAACACTAGTCTTAACTACTGCACTGCCAAACTCTCTGATCAGTGTTCCATGTTTCTGCATTTGTAAAAAAGAATTTCCTAAATGAAACAGCACCTCTCCCATACCTGTCATCTTTTTTTCATACAGAGCTCCATCCAAGCTGGAATGCAGCAGCTACTTGTCAGTATATAGCAAAAAAACAGGTGTTCAAGGCAGCATCATCCCTCTGCTTCCCCTTCTACTTAGGTTGTATTTTGCTTTCAAGATACTGAAAATGTTTTTCCAGAAGATCTGCAAAGTCTGCAACAGCAAGGATCAGACAGCATGCAGCAAACAAGGCAGCTGCTCCATACTCATGCCCAACATCCTTGTGCAATGAGCTGCCTGTTTACACTCATCCAAAGCGCACCCGGAATGAAACAAGAATTGGCCAGCACACATCCCATTTCTGCCCGTTGCAACTGCCTACTGAACGCAGCATAGTTCATGCAGAAAAAAATAAACCAAAACATGGTCATACCTGCAACCTGTATCATGACATGTCCCCTAAAAAAAATGCACGTTAAAAATACTAGGAGATACCTATAATTGTTCTGAAGATCACAAATGTAAATAAATAAACGAAGCTAAATGCAAAGCTCTTTTGAAGCCCCCCTCAATTGATTTTCAACTCTGTTAAACTGATTTTATAATGTTTGAGGAAAGCACTACTGATTTTTCATGCCCTGAGGATGATGGTTTCATCATCAAAGACAATGGAACATGGAACAACTGACAGACATACGTAAGCTAGGATGCAGCTAACAGCAAAACACTTAATATGCTGATTAAAAGTCACCTGCAAAATGGTTCAAATGTGTAAAGACTGTTTCTGTGCTACAGTCCCAGGGCAGAAAAGGAAAAATATTTATTGAAGTAGTATCTTCAACTGGAAACTATACCGTGGTCTGAGATACGCTAACAGAGAGAGAAATTAAGATTACTAAACTGCGGGAATACAGTGAAAAATACTTCCCTTTTCTCACTTCTATTTCTCTGCACATTTGCCAGCATACTCAATAATCAGGCTCTCTTGTCCCATGTTTTCCTCACTGGGTAACAGTGGATACAAAAGAAAAACCTTGACTCAAAGGTGGTGGAAAAACGAAAATATCATCTGGTGGATACTAGCCCAATTTAACTGACTTCAAAATAAATATTCAAGTGTGAAACTCACTATAGCAGTCTTGGTATGAAAGACATTACAAATTCTCACTCCATCTCCTTCTCATGCTGTTCAGTACTCTCGCTTTTTGGAAGAAATAAAATGTCAATTCAGTGTATGGGTTCTCCACTGGAGGGTATAGCTCTTGCTTTTGGCTCACATACAAGGGAGCAGAAGCATAAAGTACTCGCTGCACAGACTTTCATTCATTTTCACAAATACTGTCCAAAAATAATAAAACCCAAAAACCCTCACATGCATGTGGTGTCACCTGCACTGTTGAATTTATCCTGTCTGCTTGTATCAGCAAAAGAAAACACAGGAAACAAAATCCATGTAAGCAAAAATCAAAATAGCATCCCAAGAGCGTGACCAACATTTAGAGTCAGGAGTTTAGATTCAGCTGCGCCTTACAAATAACCCTGTTTAAATGAAGCAAAAGCATTTTCTACATTTTTCTTTTTTTTAGAGTCTCTTTCAGCTGAGAAATCTTCTTTGAGCTTTTTGAAAAGAGGTGTTGAGACCCGACAACCTCTCATTTCAAGAATCAAGCACAGTATCACTCAACCGCATGACAAAGCATTGCCTTTCCTGTGTTATGGGTTTTCTTTATTTGCACGTGTACCAATACGTATTTTTCTTTTACTCTTTAGTCATAGATTTGTGACGCTCCATCTCTATAGATGAGTCACTGATGTCATTAATGGAACAGTCTTTTACTGTGAGTTCCCTGCGGGGTAAATTATATCACGATGAGGAATGGGCAAAAGTATGCCTGTCTTCATGAAGAGGGGGACACTGGAGGATTTTGCAGATGCTTTTTCTAAAGTGTATTCCAAGTACTTTAAAAAATTGTTTTCAGAAATATAGGTGCAGAAAAACATTAGAGAGTATGACAAGAATAACAATCTTCAAAAAAAGCCACTGGCATTAGCTGAGCAGCACGTTGCTAGCACAGACATAGAGGATAAATTCTGTATTTTAAAACCTCAGTTCCTCATTAGAAAATGAAACATGTTTAGTTACTTGTTGTTTAATCTATACCAGGTATATAACTAATTCACAGAAAGAAACAATGAATATTGGCACAGATTATAGACCTTCTCCAGATGTCCACTTCTTTTAGCAATACATCTGGACATCTTTATAATAAGGTTTTTTTAAAGCATTTAATTGCATCCAACCTCTGTAACAAAACTTTTTATCACTAATTTGTCTAAGAATAAATTGTAGGCACCTGACCACCTTTTGAATTTGCTTCTCTTTTTCCAGAAAGAAATCTGCAAGTTACAAAACTGTGAGATCTCTGCCAACAACCTCCGACAGAAGGAGCACCAAATAAGACCAACAAGAAATCCAACTGCTGCTGCATTGCCAGCACCGGCTGCGTCAAAACAAGCATTCTGCAATTTCTGTACTCACAAAATGAGTTTACGAAGCAACCTTGACTGAGCTAGGAGGAGGCTGAATATACTGAGAATACAGTACCAGAGCACTGGATTTCAGTTTCTCATTGGTTGGTTACACCATAACTTCTGAAAGCAGTTTGTTAAGTAATCACACACCCTGACCCCCACCAACTCAGCGTTTCTGCTTGGTTTACCTTTTCACGGACACACTCCAGATCATGTATTTTACCACGTTTCATTATCTAGTGTGAGCTCTGTCTGTACAATACCCATTATTTTCTGCCAAAAAGACAAACTGCTGATATGACTGTACTAATTTGCCTGTCTCACAATGTTTGAATTTACTAAGCCTGACAGATGGTTAGACTTTATTACTGGCAAAATATTTCAATAGCGTGATGGCTGCAACCGATCCAGCTTCCTTAGTCTGTTCATTTTAGAGCTTATCAGAGGGGCTGAAGCTGAAGGACTGCAGACATGTCCTGAGATAGGAGGACAGAGCTACACTCTTATTCTGGTTTTGGTTTAGGTCATGTTTATTTCTAAAGTTCATCACAATCAAAATGCCCAGAATCTTCATCAAAGATTTATGTCCTATGGGAGGTTCACAGCCTTGCCCTAAGTCACTTGCCCAAATAACACTACTAGTGTATGAATCAAACGTACAATCGAACCTCTGCTGTTAGGTATGCTTATGTGCATTAGAAATATGACATCTTGAGCCATCATGTATGCTTTACTTCCAAACTTGGCTGCGCTGTTTCATATTAAAAATTAACATCAATCCACGTACACTGCAGGGTAAGTTTTCTTTCCCTGACTGTGGATACTTGTTATGTCAATGAAGGAAACTTCCTCTCTGCAGGTTTTATTTGAAACACTGGCTCATTCTAAAAAAAAAGCTTCCTAATGAGCAGCTTGGAGAGATTTGCTGCCAAATCATCTATTTGACTCATTTTTTCAGCAATGCTGAATTGCTCATTTTTCTGTTGCTGCCCTTACAAAGCAACCAGATGCTCAGAGAGCTAACAGACAGACAAGGAGAAAAGATCTAGTGCCCCAGAATCCATCAACTATGTGCTAGGGTGTTTGTAAATATGGTTTTGACCACATATGACAAGACTTAAATCATTTGTGTATATATCTATCCTGAATAATTTGACACAACTCATTGTGCAGACCCTCTTTTTACAAAGTTAGTATGCACAAGTTACTGTTCATCCAATTCGTCTCCCCGGTCTAAACGAAGTCCAGATAAACCCTCTATAGTAGCCAGCATACCCTTTATGATGTTTCACGTACAAATGGCAAAAAACAGCCTTCAAGGAAATGTTGATTTCCACCAGAAGAAACAGTGGAGAAACTAGTTATGACAAAGGCCAGGTTTTTACAGCTGTGCCACCTCACCCCAGTTCTGAGAGATGTGCCTAAGCCACAGCTTGTACAAGTGGAGAACTATACACTTCATTTTTTACCACTGCAGACAGGACTTTAAAATAGTATCAGAAAAGAAGAGAAAGCATGAATTTTCAAATCCTTGCATTCAACATTCTGGTTTTGTCTTCTTTTTTGTTGTTGTTTAAAGTACAAGTTTTGCTTTCTCTAATTCCAAACTGACAGATCTGTAAGCAACTTAATAATGCAATAGACAGCATACAGCCTAATGAAATAATTTTAGACTCTTATCCAAATACCATGTTAGCTTACCTGGGGATTTTTAAATAAAGCATATTTTTCACTTTTTTCCAAAAACAGAATCTTATTCTCAGTGTCTCGGGTCCAATCTGATAACACTTCAACAACATTTTCATGGTCTTCAAAAAACCTTTCTGGAGAAACAGAAAAAGTAATGTAAGACACCCAAACTCTTTCTCCCCTCTCCTGAGGCTGTAGAAATTCCTGTGTAAGAATGTAATCATTATTGGATGTTCACTCAGGGCTGACAGTCCAGTACTCTTTTCCACTGCACAGAAGGAAGGAAAACCACATGAAAATAGTGTCACGTGGAAGGGCAAATCAGCTACAGAACACGTCTTATGTAGCTCTGGCGTGCTCCTGGATTCCTCCTGCACCTCTGTGCTGTTGCCCAAAGACTGCAAAGGATGGAAACAGTGACCCACTAGGAGTAGATGGTTACACTCATGTCTCTCAACAGCTTTCTGATTTTGTTTTTTAAGGTTGGCAGTATGACTGGGGTGGTTATATATCCACTTCGGCTACTGAATTGAAAAAAAAAAAAAATAGTAAAAAATTATTTCCTTGTCTTTTTACTTATTGGAACAAATGAAAAATTACTTTTTGTCAGTGGGAAGAATTCTATGCGTTGAAAATGTTTTGTTCCAAGTACCAGTATTTAAAAACAGAAATGGTAAAACAGAGAAAATAGGAAGACAGACTGAGAACTGATGTGAAGATACACTGTTTCACCTAGCAACTCTGCAGTTAAAACTCTCACCAGAAATGTGTGAGACCTAGCGGCAGTTCTCTCCCTTCCTGAGCTGATCTGAACCCAGATCCTCCACCCAGGAAAGCCACAGGGTATGCTGAGGTTAGGTAACTCCTATCTCTTCTTCTGCAGTTTCACTGGTATAAAGCAGCTGAACAGTCACATAAACCCCCTTTGGAAGGAAAAGGAATTGAGCATAGTTTGACAGGTAATTTTGGAAGGACCCAAACTGCCTTTTTCTACCAGTTCAGTATTGGGGCAGGGAATTGACCAAGCTCCAATTGTTCCCTGGGAACAGCTGTACTGCAATGTCAGTGGTCTGTGACGATCACATCTTTCTAGATTGGCCTAGTGTAAGAGGAGTTAACAGAGCACACATTTTGTAGGCTTTCTTTAACACTTCTTGTTACTTTTGACAAGGGTTCAGCATGTCCCATCAAAACTAAATTTTGTGAATTAAGTTCACAAAATGAGATGAGCTTCAGGGCCAGTTCACATGTACACAGTAACTTTCAACAACACAAGCAACACAACACTTTTCATTTAGCAACTGATACTTCTGCAATGCACTGGAAATACAAAGCACTATATAAAACGCAAGTAACAGTTTGAAGAGTAAACAGAATCTTATAGTCCAGTACAGCTGTAAAATAATTCTCAGGTTGTAACACTAGTTAAATACTAATTTTTGGCACACACACTTTTTTTTTGTTCATTTCCAGTACTAGGCTTTTCTTGTATAAAAGGTACGATCTTACCATCCTCAGAAGGGTCTTTTTAATAATTACTGTTATCAAAAAAAGTCAAATCTGGATGCCTAATATAAGGCAATACTCTTTACTGGAAAATACATGCTAGTATGTACAGCCCAGTGATATATCACAATCTCACTGCTGAGATTATTTGTGATATTTAATATGCAATTAATTTAAAGTTGTAGTTTGTTTTATTTGCAATGATCATCTTTCAAAATAACAGTATATAGAAGATACTCTGTCAAGGATCTTCTGATACAAAACTAGCTTGGACTTTCAGTTCAGCCTGAAATATTTGCTGCTTGGATTCGTTTCTTAAAGTAAACCTAATTTTAGTCTCTTCAATACTAACATGAAAAGCAGGCAGAAAGGGTAAGTGCAGAAAAGCCTGTCTTCTAAGCATGCTGATAGTAATAGAGCAATCCAGAACTACCAAGAAGTATGCTAACAAGAATAAAGAACACCTAACATTGTTTTGATCTTGAACAAAATTAACCGCATGTTGCTGTGCACTGGAAGCAGACGAAAGAATATGTACCATTCCACCCATATCAAAATTCCCTTCTGCAAACCAAAAGGCTGCATTCCCAGATGATTTGGGCCTGGTGACAGACCTCTGCATCAGGAGTTCATAGACTTTTTCATTTTTCCTGAACAAACTACTGATTTATTTCCTTTCCTACTCTTCTGTCCTGGCTTTTAGTTCATTATGAGAATAATTACTTACTGTAGCAATACCCTAATCCTAAACCAAAGCACCTAGCATTAGCTGGGACTAAAGTAACACAAATCATTTTTACTTTTTTTACTTTTCAAAATGTCTCTCCAGATTATGAAGAATCACAAAGCACATTCTTTTTAATGATTTTGGAGATTCAGAAAACAATCCGTTCATGTGCTGTCATCCTAACACTCAGACACGTTTGTGCAAGTCACACTAGACCAGAGGGACCAACTTTCCAAGACAAGAAAACACTAAAATTATTCACAGTGACATTGGTGACATTTCCAGGGTCTAATGGCATTTCCAGTCTTTTCCTTACTTAAGATAAGCAGGTACAAAAGAATGCAGCAACATTGCTTCATGTATCATCTCAATGGAGTAGAAAGAACAGATTAGCAGTTAATGTCTGTGCCATTCTTACAAGCAGATGAATATCTCCTTGGTCATAAGCAGCTAGGCCTTTTCCAGCTATTTTTACATGTCTTTGTTTTAGTTTAGCAGGATGATTATTCCTACGAGTCTTTTAAAGTGCAATATTGATATTTAACTTTCTTTGTGTATTTTTACGTCTCTGCCAGGAGACTGTAAACTGAGAATGCTAAAGGCTTTTGACAAATTCTCATTTCTCTAGGTCAAATGTGACCCTGGAAGAAAGTTGTGGCAATTTTCCTTTTACTTTTGATATGAATACCTTTGTAGCCTGGACAGTAAAAAGATTCCAAAATAACTCACAATTAGAGAATACTTGAAAGCCCTTTTGGAACAAAATTCATTAAGTTGCAGCAAACAATACCCAAGTTTTGCACAACTGTTTCCTAGGGACCTGAAGGCCAGGTTAGTTACTTTCCAAATCATAAGGTATCACCAGCAGAGCTGCAGCCCTGTCAGAGAGCAATATCCTGTTCACAACTACACTTAAGAAAATGACCATCACAAGTGAAAAGCATTAGAAATGACAGAAACACTTCTCAGACAGTCTTGTTTAATGACATTTGTTTGGCCAGTATGTAACAGCATGCTGACAGCACTTCAGCACTGCATCCTCTTCAAAGAGTTGAGTGCTGGTGCATTTAGGTCTGTCACTGCCTTGACAAACATAGTGATATTCACATGGCCCCTTCATTTTGTGAAAAACAGAATAATGGAAATGGTGGTGGGCGAGGAGCTCTCTGCAGCTCACAGCACAGACGAATGAAGACTCACTTCTACAGCAAGAACAGCCCAAGTACATTCCTGCAGCATCCCTCAGCTCAGAGGCTGCGATGTTCCAACACCAGTGGACACATGGGTAGAAGAAATGTTATTAATTATCTTTTCAAGATTACCAATAGCACAGGATGCACTATATCTATTTGTTATATGCTCTGTCACTACGCCACTTACCAATTTGCAGCTCTGGGTACATTTCATACAGACACCAGTCAACGTTGCAGTCGCAATGGGTTTTCTCGAAGAGATTGTCTAAAACATCCCGTGTCACCTGACGCTCATCCACCATTAGTGACTTTGTGCTGTTATCGTACATGTGCACCTTGACAACAAGCTGAGTACATAGTCACAGAAGAGTCAGTTAATTTCAGAAGCAAGTAAAAGGCTAGTCTGAATCTGCTAACACAGATAAGAAAGATTAAGGCTGAAGGTTATTACTGATTCAAAGGCACCCTGTCCCACAGTAAGCTGAGTGAATAAAACAGCTTGCAAGCTTTCACATTATATTGACACCAAAGTAAAGACCTTTTCTCAAAAAAGAAAATTGAACCTTGTCCTGTGCATGACTTCAGGAAAGGTGAAACTCCTATGGAGAAAAAGCAGAATTAATCTCTTCTCCAAATCTACTAGATGTGTAATTAAGGAAAATGCTTGATAGGGAAATCAAGTCCAAAAGGACAGAGTGTCCTTAATGCAGGACAGAAATGCAGAAAGTTTAGTTTTAAATGAGAAAAAGAATGGAATATTGCCATGCCAACAGATTAACCTGAAATCAGACTCAGTACTAAGACAGGCAGTAGTCCAACACCCATCAATAAGCAAACAGATGAGTTACTTATATTCACCAAATTAACCTAAGACACTCATTATTATTGTGAAGTACTTGTTAAACAAGAAAGAGCATGCACTTTTTTTCCAGAGAGGAACAATGCAGGAAAATGCTGAAGTACATAACATGTGATAAAGAACTGCAAATACATTATAAGGAAATTACTTAAAATGCTCCATTAGTACTGAAAACAAAAGAAAAATTGTCTACAGGATCTGTACATGGAAACTGAACTAAACCAGTGAGTTAGGAGGACTTCTCCACATAGTCTTGTTTAAATAGCTCCTTATTTCAAAATGTGTGCATAAGAAGCTTTGGTACTACTGACACAATCTGTTAAAAGATCATGTAGAAGCAGAGAGTGATGATCCCCCCGAGAAAATCTACACTATCTCTGAAAAGTAAAAGCAAATGTAAAAGAAAAAAAAAAAAGTAAACTTGCTTTGATTCCAACCCTTGTAACTATCTTCTTCTCTAAAATAAGTAACCGAGCCATAGCACATCTTACAGAAAAAGAAATGTTGTACATGCACAATCTACAACGTGTCTGAGGAAAAAAGCTTATTTTTGTCTGGTTATAGCTGACTGCTCAGAAACATGCATGCAGCTCCCATATTCACAGAATCACAGAATGGTTGAGACTGGAAGACACCTCTGGTGGCCCTCTGGTCAAACCACCTGCTCAAGAAGGGTCACCTAAAGCCTGTTGTCCAGGATGCTGTCCAGATGGCTTTTGAATATCTCCAAGGAGGGGGACTCCACAACCTCTCTGGGAAACCTGTGCCAGTGCTTGGTCACCCTGACAGTGAAAAACTGTTCCTGATGTTCATATAGAATCTCTGGTGTTTCAGTTTGTGCCCATTGCCTCTAGTCCTGTCACCGGGCACCACTGAAAAGAGCCTGGCTCCATGCTCTTTGCACCTTCCCTTCAGTTATTTCTATATATTGACAAGATCCCCCTGGGCCTTCCCTTCTCTAGGCTATGCAGTCCCAGCTGTCTCAGCCTTTCCTAATATGAGAGATGCTGTGGCCCTTCATTCATTGGGATGGAACTCCCTTGAGTTTGGATGAGGTGATCCTTGAATATTAACCACCTTTCCTGGGCCCTTCTACCCTCCAGGGCCTTATTCCATGGGATTCTTCCAAGCAGATCTTTGAAGAAGTCAAAGTCTGCTTTCCTGAAGTCCAGGGCTGTGAGCTTGCTTTTCACCATCCTCCCTGGCTTCTGCCCTCTGCTTTTAGTAAAAGAGAGAAGACCAGTTTTCTTGAGAATTCTTTATTCAATTTAGAATTCAAAAATGACACAGTAATTTCATCACAGTGACACAGCCACAAGAAGATTAGGCCTTACTTCTACTCTATGGCTCCAAATATTCGGGTGGGGAAAAAAAAAAAAAAAAGTCTTCAAAATAAATGTTTCCTCCCAAAGGAGAATTGCTAATATTGCAAGGAAAAGAGGGTGACCAATGAGCAGTCCTAAGTTTAGTTATAGAGCCTTCCAAAGACAGCATTGGTGAAATCCTCCCAACACATTCTCTCAGAAGTAGTATTTGTACATGAACATAAAGTGTTCTGGGAGAACCATCTCACGTCTGGACACCCCCAAATTTATTGGAAGCTTCAAGTCTTCTTGGAAGCCCTGTGGGCTCTGATCTCCAGCACCTCACCTCTCCCATTTGAGGAAGACTGAAAGGTCACGACTGTTTTTCCTTCACATCCTTTTTTCAGCTGCTGTTGAGTACATCTGGAAATCTGCTGCTTCTGTTGAGTTCAGCTGGAATGCTAGCTTAGGATGAGTGGGCATAATTACATGACACATTGCAGCACTGTGCAGACAATGGCTGGAAGCTTTCTAATTTGTTGGTCTAAAATAATTTCTATTATCCTTGTACATTACTACACTTCTGTGAAAAGATTTAGCAAGAAGACCCTCATTAATTTAACTGGGATGAATTCACATCCACTGTAGAAGAAAAGTTTAATACTTCTGGGATCAGCACAGCATAAGTATATACATTCCACTTTCTCTGAAGTGACCTACCAGCACAACGGGCTTTGCCTCAGCATTGGGGAGAAAAAAAAAAAAAAAGAAAAAAAAAAAAGAGGCAGAGCCTTCCAAGTCTTCTTAAAAATAAGTCCCTCAGAGGTAGCATTCTCTCAGAGACTTCTCTTCAGGCAGATGACAAGACAGGTCCACAGAATACCTTTAGATGTCTCAACTTACAGACAAAATATGAAAAAAACCTAGTGATTTTAGCAAGTATTGAGAAGAATGATAATAGATACTTAGTTGGTAGCTCTTATGATAAGCATTTCACTATTTTAAGGTTCACCTTTTTAACTTTGGCTTCCTTCAGTTTCTCCAATGCAAGTTTAATCTTGTCAGCTTTAGCCTGTGCCTCTTGTTCTGCCTGAAAAGACACAAGATTAAAAACAGAAGACATTTGGTATACTTCTTGTTAATTAAGGCCAGCAATTCATGTTCACTTGAAAAGAGCTCTTTCCTGTTATTTATATGCAGAACATAAGGCCTATCATGGGAAATCATAGTTACAGGGAACCCTCAGCTTTCCTTGAGCTAATATCCTCTAGCCAAAGCTTCGATTTACAAGTCCAGCGCTTCCTTTTGTTGCCCAGTCATACAGCTCTTACATGATTTCTTCCTTAAATGCTACAGCTATGCCTGAAAACTGAACTCTTCTGTTTCCATATGGGTTACAGCTGATACAAAAGAGAAGGTGAAGGAAGATATAGCCTGAAAGAAACAGCACTGTGGATGCAGCCACTTGGAAGAAAACTCGCCTTTCCATAGAGTTAAAAGAATTAGAGGTTTTAGGATCTCACTGAAAACTTGGCTTGCATCTTCTGGATGTTCAAACAGAAGCACACAAAAGTCATCCAGATAATGTCATAGAAAATGTAGAAGCCTTATTTAGCTTAAGGACAGTTTTAAAAAGAAATGTCAGAGTTGATGGAAACTTAACAGATAGATCTATGCTTCCCTGAAAGAAAGGTTGTACTTAATTTTGGCATGCTTAAAGGTTAGAGAATAAAGTCTTAGTATCACAAGTGCATTGGGAATAATTAACACTATTATTATTTGACTACAGACAACCGTAAGTGTTAAACAAAACATCAGCCTTGAATGGCTCAAGAATCACATATCAAGAATCCTGGCTAACAGGGACATGAACTTCGATGAAACAAAATGCATTCCATTTACAGCTGCACTTCATTCTACTGAGCAGAAATGTCAACTGAGCAGAAATGTCATGTCAAAGCAAATGCTAACCAAGACAGTAAATACTAATTTGAAATCAGTTCTTTCTGTATTAATTTTAAATGGTTATTACCTCTATCATTCACACGTTTTCTGTTACAGTAAACTATTTGCAATGATTTATGCCTGTCTTGAGCTATCAAAATGAGGATTAGAAAGGTAAAGGAATAGGCAATAGGTCAAAGAACAGGCAGAAACTTCTGAGCCCACAATAACTCTTACTCCACAGTTCATGCATGTTTCATCATGGCAGAAGCTTCCCAAGATGTTTCTACCTGGGATATCCACTGTTGTTCCAATGACAAATACCACTTGCAAATTTACAAGAACTATTGAATGCTTAGAACAAGATTCCACCCAAGCTTACCTGGGTGAGTGGCTCAGGAGGAGGAGGTGGTGGTGGTGGTGGAAGGTCTAAATCAGGGTCTGGAGGTGGAGGCGGCAAGTCATCCCCAAACTGTCCAGTAATGGTAACATAGGGACTTGATTTAGAATAAATATCACTACCCAAGCCTGTAGAAGGCTGAGTGACTGTACTTTGCTGGTTGCCAGAAGTTTTCTGGGCTTGTAAAGTTCTCTGTTCAACATCATTTATGTCTGCTACAAGATCAGCCATTAAAGCATCCAGGTCTTTGTCCTCTAGGGCACTTAGGGATTCTGTAAAGAAAACCACAAAATGTGTCAGAGAGTGCAATGCAAAACACTACGTTTCTGCATCAGTGGACATTAAATTGCAGAAGGCACAGTTACTGTAAGATATAAGGGTTATAGGAAAGGAAACAACATTTTAAATGGGTTCAAGAATTTCAGGAGTAGCCATTAAGCTAGTCACACTGAAGTTCAAAGTACAAGGAACTCTACAAATACAAATTAAACAGGACAGGAAGCTTCACTTTCACTGATACAGTCTCAGCTCTTATGATGTCACAAAACCTGGCCCTGATCCAGTAAAGTTTCTTGGCACACGCTTAGTGAAGTGGATGAAAGAAATTCCATTAGCTCCCTTTAGATTATCTACTTAAGTTAAGAACATACTTAAATGCTTAGCAAGTTTTTGTATAGCACACAACAAACTGTGTAACAGGCCTAGGTCAAGAATATCTTCATATATTACTACTCTAAAATTAACATGAAGCAGAGTCAGAGAGTTCTAGAACACAAGAAATTGTATGTTACAATTTGTAGCACATCAGTAATTGTGTTAAAAATTCTGACTCCTATGTAAGACTGAGCAATGTCCCTTTAAAAAAATTTGCCCCATTCGAAGTTTCCTAAATTGAGACACACAAATATACCTCCCCCTCCAGCAAAACAGGTTTCTTTGGTTTGGTTTTGTTGTTGTGTTGGGTTTTTTGTTTGTTTGTTTGTTTTTTTGATCAAGGGTGTTTGAAGTTTTTCTTCTCATTTGTTGCTGTGAAGTATTTTAATAAGCATAAAAAGCATGGAGGAGTCCATTCGGCTACTTACCATTTAAATCTTTAAAACCAACTGTAAAGCTAAATTCATTGTTGGACACTTTGGGGGATGGAGGTTGTACAGTCTCCACTCCTAAACTCTGTTAAGGTAAAAGAAATAAAACAGTTACCTGATGACATAATTACTATTACAGACATTAACATTTGTAAATCAATTACCTGAATTTGTCTAATGAAATCAATTCTTCTTCAAGGAACTGAATGACACACACTAGTTTCTGCGATTATGCCTAGACTGGTAAACTATTTAGGGCCAGGATAAAGGGTCAAGCACTGCCTCACAACCATGCCAAGCGTTTAATGGCTTGCATGGTTCTCAATACAATATTGACCCATGCCAACTGCAACTCTTGTCAGGCAACACCCAGGCTTGATGTGAGGAAGAGAAACAGCCCTAGCCTCTGCTAATAGAGACAGTGGATAAAGACTGACTGATTTTTAGGTTTTGGTGGGTTTTTTGAAGGGGGGCAGGGGTGGGTGTTGAAAGAGTTTAGCTGTGTCCATATTTGAGCTCCAGAGTGCCATTTGCTCCAGAGTGCTTTATTCAATAAATGTAACCTAGCTGTTGCTTTCTCATGCTGTTTGCAAAAAAACCCAAAACCCAAACACAACAAATAACAAAACATGCTGCTGTTTGTAACGTAAACTGCAAACCTGCAGTGAGAATTCCTAGTTTTGGCTTGCTGTTTAGAAAGCAGGCAGTGAACCAGTGGTTCACAAGTTAAGAAAAGTGCATACAGTGGAGATAGAAAAAGATACATTCTCCCTTCCACAGTGAGGAAGGTGATAGCTCTAACAAGCAAACACCGTAGACAAGACTGGAAGGAATTTCAAGGGCGTGTCTAGACCATGCACCTGTCCCAAGGCAGGTCAGTTATACCTGGGTCATACCTGAAAAATGTATACTTAACCTGATTTTAAAAGCTTCCTATTAGATAAATTCCATCATCACCTCTGGCAATCCGTGACACTGCTTCACTACAGAGATCACTACTCCTGCCATCAAGCCTTTCTTTTGATGCTCATCCTAAACTTTCTTTGCTGCAGCTGAAGACCATTCCCTGCTGTCCTACTCTCTGCGGACATGAGGATTGTTATCAGACTCCTCTAGACTAAAGAGCCTCATGCAATTTTTTCTTATAGGTCATGTTTCTTTTCCTTCTCATCATTCCCATTGCTTTTCTCTGGATTTTCTCCAGTGGACCCTCCTTCTCAAAATGGAATGCCAATGCTGGACACAGTTTCCCTGTTGAGGTCTTACCAATGCTGCACAGAATGGAAGGATTACTTCATAAATCCTACAAGCCATACCGTTGTTCATACATCCCTGTAAGATGTTTGTCTACTGCTGCTCATACTTAATTTGTACCAGAGGCATTTACACTTAGAGTTGCCTGAAACTGATGGGTGTCTTCCATGAAAATTAATGCAAATATTTTTCTTGGCAGCTCTTTTCACCTATTTCCCACCCAGGACATGTTGGTTTCTTCTGAAGTTATACAGAGCTGGAAACCAAAGCAGTGATAACTTTAAACACTGTTTGTGTGTTAATACTCACTCTCAAAAAATAGACACGGTATAAACAGGGGAAGAGGGAGAAATGAAGCACATGAGATAGTTTTACAGTGCCCAAGGGGGGAGGGGGGGGAGGCAAAAGGAAGGGACAAAATGGATTGATGAAACAGACTGTAAGAGCACAAAGGAAATACTTTTATTACTAACCTAACAAGAAGTCATAACATCTCACAATGGCCATAGAAGTGAAGGAAAAAAAAAAAGTACATGCAAAGGGAAATTAAAGAGAAAACAATCAAAATGCTAAAAAAAGGTTTAAAATTAAGAAATAGCAGAAAAGCCCAATTCTGAACTTGCATTTATTTTTCAGCCTTGTTATGCAATGTGAAGGCATCTCTGTGTGCTTCTATCATTTACACTTGCTTTATTGGTGAAATTTGTGAGATTGGTGAAAATGGGTGAAAAACTACCTACAGACTCATTTCAGAAATTAAGAGTCTCAAGGAATTAAGAGATGCAAGTCTATTAATCGAAAGTCTTCAGGCTTTCAGACATGCCTGTATCCTTCTCCCATACAATGCTGAGGTAAGAGGTGATACCCCAGCACTTTAGAGAGAAGGAGGAGTCAGTCTCCATCTTAGGAACAAATCCCATCCCACCCAGTACTGCACCAATGAGCCAGAGAGAGAAGAGTCTTGTCTCTTTATATACATATATATAAAAAAATAAATATACATGATTCTAAAAAGCCCTTAAAAAGCATAAAGGCTACCAAGGGGCAAAGTACTGTGATTTGACAGTGAAGAATGCCAAGTGAAATTTTGGCTTTCACACAGTTTAAGCACAATTCCTATTCTGTGGCTCAGAATTATCAGCATTTTATTTGGCAAGCACTGGGATTCACCAAGAGGAAAGATCCCTCCAAACAGAGGCTGTAAGCAATCAAACTCACACAGAATCCAAGATGACAGCTTAAATATTGTCAAGCATGCATTTACTAAAATACAACAAATCTATTGATTTTGTGTGGCTTTTTAAGAAATAAAAATTCTCCTTTCATCAGGTTTTGCACTACGTATTTTATGACTTAAGGTTTAGAAATAGGCTCATACTGTTTTATAGTTTCCTCTCAAGAGTGTATTCTGCATTGGCAATAATGTCGCTATAAATTCTTGCACGCCACCCTAACTGTAACTTAGTATTTTGCCATATCTAGAGATTACTCTTAGGCATATATTCAAAATGTTGCTTTCGTTACTAAAGTTTACATTTGACACTGAGGCTACATCCCATTTATCCATGTATGCAAAGCATTCATACCCGAAGATTCTGACTCAAACTCTTCCTGTTTTGAAAGAATCTCTCAATTTCTTGGGACTGAGTCCAGAGGAATTCATATTGCTTACTTGGGTTTTTTTGGAGAAAGTGTCTTTCATAAGCAGTTATCTCTCTTTAACACTCTAGCCTGCACTGCTACTACCTTATTCTTCAGGCCACTTGTTTTAAATGTCAAGCAGAGAAATTTAGTTCAACGTTTTTTAAAATAATGGACTTTTATTTATTCAGAGTTGAGGTACATGAAGAACGTAGAAAAGTTGACTCACTTCTCTAACACATAATAACTATTTTTCTGATCTTGACGGAAAAAAAGAATCATTTACCTGGGTCAGCATGTCCATCTCCCCAAGTAAATTGCTGAACATTTCATCTATATCATCACATGTTTGCTCCATCTGAAAGAAAAAAATCCACAAACAAGGAATCATCACAAGTTCATTTCAAAGCCAGTAACCGTCAGAAAGAGAGCATATGCAACATTCTTGTATATAACTTTAAAACAACTGCGCATGACTTGCAAAAACCTTCATCCATAGTTTAGAAATAACTACTAACAGATCAGAATCTCAATCCTGTATATGCTTAAATGCACATTTGGGCTCTACATTCATTAGGAGCTCCAACAATCTCCTTGAATTATTTACATCTCATAGGGAGTCACTAGGTAATAAACCATGGCTGTATCTTAAACATCAAAGAAATGTAGTTAGTGAAAGATGGAGAGGGAAACAAAGTCTGAGGTCAAGAAATTCCTGAACACTTCATCTTGAAAGCTTGCTTTCTTTGGCTTAGATGACTAATACAACAAGAGTTTATTAGGTGTTGTCTAATGCAGAACCTGGTTATGGTTAGGTACATGAACAACTTTTTGTCTCAGTATTTCTCCCTATTTTCTTTCAAATACTAGTGCACTGACAGAACTCCAGTTTTACCTAACCTCAAGGCAAGGAAAATTGGTACACGGTGCACAACAGTAAATAGTGGGTCTCGTTGCAAGAGGGGCCGGTGCAAGGACAGCAACCGCACCCTGGTGGTGCTGAGATACTGGGCAGATAGAGCTTCTATAATAATCCTTTTCCTCTTTCTCACAAATTTATTCCTTTGCGGGGACAGAAGTACTGTAAAAGGGTGTCTGATATGGAGCACTGCCAGAGACAAGAACTATAAACATCATTTTCTTAAGAGGGTCAAGCCTGCAAGGAATTGACAACTCTGGTACTGATTGCATAAAACTAAGGTTCAAACTAGGGTCAAAATTAAAAATCTAAGTAGTCCTATTGGTTCACTGGGTTTGTGTGCACCTATATTGGGTTTATGTGGCAAGGTTTTGGTAGAGGGCGGGCTGCAGGTGTGGCTTCCGTGAGAAGACACCAGGAGCTGCTCCCATGTCAGAGAGAGACAGTAGTTCCAGCTGGCTCCAAGATAGACTTGGGGCTGGCCAAAGCTGAGTCCATCAGCAACACTTGTGGCACCTCTGTGATGACATATTTAAGAAGAAGTAAAAAATGCTGTGCAGCAGCTGTAGAAGAGTGAGAAAAAATAGCCCTGCAGACACCAAGGTTAGTAAAGGAGAGGAAAGGAGGTGCTCCAGGTGCTGAAGCACAGATTCCCCTGCAGCCCATGGCAAAGCAGGTTGTTCCCCTGGAGGTGGGACCATGCTGGAGCAGATATCCACACTGCAGTCCATGGAGGACCCCACACTGGAGCAGGTAGACATGCCCTGAAGGAAGTTGCAGGCCATGGTGTGCCCACGCTGGAGCAGGCTCCTGGCAGGAACTGCAGTCTGTGGAGAGGAGCCCACACAAAGCAGGTTTCTTGCAGGACGTGTGACCCTGTGGGGGACACACACTGGAGCAGTCTGTGTCTGAAGGACTGTGCCTTGTGGAAATGACCCATGCTGGAGCCGTGCTTGAAGAACTGCAGCCTGTGGGAAGGTCTCACGTTGCAGAAGTTCATGAAGGACTGTCTCCCTCCCATGGCAGGACCCCCATGCTGGAGCAGGGAAACAGTGTGAGGAGGAAGGAGTGGCAGAGACAAAGTGTTATGAACTGATCGCAATCCCCATTTCCCTTCACCCTGTGCTGCTTGAAGGGGAAGAAGTAGAAGAGTTGGGAGTGAAGCTAAGCCTGAGAAGAAGGGAGGGGTGGGGTGAAGATGGTTTCATTATTGCCTCTTATTTCTCGTTATCCTACTGTCTTATTAATTGGCAATAAATTAAATTATTTTCCCAATGTTGAGCCTGTTTTGCTCAACAGTAATTGGTAAGTGATCTCCCTGTCCTTATCTCCACCCGTGAACTTTTCCATCGTATTTTCTCCCCCTGTTCTGCTGAGGATGAGGAGTGATAGAGTGGCTTGGTGGGCAGCTGGTGTCCAGCCAAGGTCAACCCACCACAGCACCTTACAGGACAAGGACCAACCTAGTGTAAAAAACCAATCAACCGAGGAGAGGAACAACTATAATGACTATAAAGACTGGCAAGAAAAGAAGAGCAGCAAGTATCCTGTTCTTAAATCTTTACGCTTTTCCTTTAATAGAGCATCTTGAGTCACATAACTATTCCATAGTTAAATGATAAAGGCCACTAAACCACTAAAGTCAGTATCTGTTGTTCGAGAATTATTTGGTAGCATGTCTTGAATATGATAGTTAATTCTAGAGCACTCTGAGCTGCTCCCACCTCCTTTGGACTTGGTCCTTCTGGCACCTACATAAGGAAGATTGGCCCAGTTACCACTTGTTCTCTTACCACCTACGTTATTCCCAATACCAGAACTCACTAGAAGTAGGCACATACAGCTTTCATCAGTCAGGCTCAGGGCATATTCTACCTTCTTTAGACTATTTTTGTAGCTGGTGTAACTAAACAAGGCACAGGCAACCGGGAACCGGATTTCAAACTGCAGTTCTCTTGGATCCCGGAAATCAAAGACTTAAAGATTTGGAAACTGGATGCTGTTAAAGACATTTTAATTGGATGTGGTTGGCAGGGCTAAGGGAACCGTAGCCCAACGGTGGAGATGGCACAGCTATGCCCATGTAACAGGGAACATGCATCATACAAGATGGAACAAATGAAGAGTTAAAGTAATCTGCTTCATTTCCAGCTGACAAACTCACACTGGATGGCTCACTCTCTCTGTATGTATCATAGTTATCGTACAGAGCTTTCTATATAAAGTTCTGTTTCTGTAGATTCAGCAGTATACTGGTTGGGCAAATGATTACTGAATCTTAATTCATTTATTTGAATCAACAGCTGTGTAGCTTCCTACACACCTGGCACTTGGAGAATGAATTTTTATAAAAAAGGCAGATAAAATGGCACTTATTTCATCAGGCAGTGTGAAGTGAGATTTGTTATGTGACAAAAAATGGAGCTGCAGTTCATACTGACAAGTATCTCATCAGTGCTTAAACACTACTGAGTAATTTTATGTTTTCCTGGTTTCTGATTTAGAAGAACAAAATATCTGCTGGGGGAATCTTCTCAGCTCTAGCCATTTGGATGTTTTTCTGTGTTTTTTTTAAGCATTGGCTAGATCTGCTTTCAGGAAAAAGTCTTCATACTGGGTCCTCCGACAATCTGAAATCCTGCTTTGCTATGTTTTCCAGAACAGAAAAATAAAAATGGCAAAAATATTACTCTTGGGTTACAATCAGGAGACCTTGTCAAGAGAAGGAGCAAGAACTGTCTAAAAATAAATTAAAAAAACCCCAACAAACAAAAAAAACCCAAAACAACCCTAAGAAGCCTCTTCAGTAGTTAAGAAGAAAAAAAAAAGGCAAGAGAACTGTATATGGGATTATACAATGCTTTCATCAAATTGCAGGATTTTTACAGGTCTAGTAAATTTAAAGCTTCTTTCTTTACAATTATATGATTTTCTGAATCTTCAGACACATTTGTTCTATAATTAAAATAATGTAATCCTATGAAAAGGCAATGTGCAAAGAATTCTGCAAGAACTTTCACTGTAAATTAGAGCTGAGTTAGTCACCGATGACTTTTCCTTATAGATTAAAATAAAAGACATTTAATACTAGGGATTTCTTTGACTTTAAGCACATGGGGGAGGGAGAAGGCCTGAACACATATTTTAAGAAGAAATGCATTAGTGTCCCTTTCAAGCGTCACTTTCAATGAACAGTTATTCATCATCATCACCAACTGGATAAAGCCATGTTGTCACCAAGCCATTGCCCATACTGGTATCATTTTTTTCCTCTTGAATTTTTATTGATTTGGTTTAGGAAGATAAAGTTACCATCACCATCGCCAAATACTCTGAAAATACTTTTATGTTAAAACACATTGAATGATCTCTTAAACTGATATGAGAACTCTGCATATTCATCGGGGATTTTGTCAAGGGCTAGAAAAAGCAAAAGACATTAAAATGAGTCCCCAAAACAAGGAGCTGCAAAAGAGTGTCCATCCACTCTCCTCCTCTTTGACTCCTCTCCACAAGCATTTCCATTTCTTTTATTTGATTGCCACAGTAGGAACAGACAGACAAAATAATATGTAGATTTAGGAACTATCCCAATTCAAGGAGGATGATGTTGCATTTTGGACCAGCAAATTCTTTTAACTTTTATAAATAGCCTTGAACTTACTCAAACCAGAAACTTGAAGTGAAACCTGCAGGTGTATGAGCTATTATTAACAAAAAAAGGGAAAATATTTACCAAAGTGTCCAGAAGAATACTGAGTTTCATATTCAGTCCTCCTCTACATCCATTAAACAGTAACTTTTCTGTCAGGTTTTTCTGTATATAGTACTAATAATAGTAACTCTTAAAATCACTATCAACTATAATAAACTGAAAAGGGAAAAAAAAAAAAAAAAAGAAGAGTACTTTTATAGTATGTTTCCCACGTTATGCATAAGATTTTAAACACAGAAAAAAATCAGAATTAAAATTAAAATAGGAAATTGTGGTTGTCAATAATAAACATGCTAAGGAAAGGCTTGTGGGAAGGCATACATGTGAAACCTACCTCTTCTCAAAGTGATTAATTTTCAGACTGATGTCTTCTAGACCACCAAGCATACAGGCAAAGGTATTCCTTGTCTTTTATTTCCCCCAAATTTCACATTCTCAAATCTTCATTGAGCTCCCATGAACACCTCTTCGGGTTTTTTTAATACTCTCACATTCCTCATACCGTATACCTAAATGGGTGGGGCATTTTCTCTCCAGCTTCCTATTCTAACTACCAAGTCACACTATTTAGTTTACGCATATTAAACTCTCACAGGTTTATAATACATAAATAATCAACTCACTGTATTTTGACTTATCAATACATTTATTCATCCCACCATTTACCAGAAGTCCCCTAGACCTGCTAGATCTTTAATTTTTTTACCTTCCCAATTTCAGATTTAA